GTGGACTCAATGAAAAGGAGGAAAACACAGGTGAAAGCAGCATCAGTGATTGACCATGGAATTGTTTGGATGCTCACCAGTGTCCACAGAGGCTTTTCATACTAACCTTTTGTATCCACTGTAATTTCACATAGCAGTTTCCTGAGCTCTCCGAGTAATTTCCTTCAAATCACTAAGGTGCTTATATACCTGCACTGGCAAGCAGAGGGAGTTTTAGTTTCACATATGTTTTTTATACTCTGAAAGCAGAATTGTTTCCTCCTTCCCTTCAGTGTCAGCACCATCCAGAATAAATATTATCAGACAGCAGGGATAAAGGACTCATCCTTGAACAACTCCACTGGGAAAAAAAAAAACCACGCACAAAAAAAAACAAACAAAAAAACCCACAAACAAACAAAAAACCCCACCAACATTCTTATTCTCATTATTAGCTCTTGTTATTTCTTGTTCTAATTGACATTATTCATCCAAGTATGTTGCCGTGAAAATAATTATCCTTTTGATGCTATGCTATTTATTACAAGGAAGACTAAGCCTTTACTATCAGTTCTGTATTTTTTGTGCAAATGCTTACAAAATGCTGCAAACATCATTTTCTTACAAGGCTAAGTTAAATTGCTTTATGATTAATGAGAAGACAATCACACACAAAGCCTGATGATTTATAATAAAAAGGCTAAGCACCTTAATCTTCTTTATCTACATGTATCCACATTTCTTCTGCTTAGGCTTAGCCTTTGTTCTGGTAGGATAAAGTCCTGAATACTTCCTACCTTTCCTGATTACATTACTGGTATACCATGATACAGCTAAGAGAGATCACCCTAGGCTTTGTCTTGTTTTTTTAAGAGAATGGCTCTTAGAACAAATAATTTGATAGTTACAGTATGGCAAGGTGGTGGAATAGCCATGAGAATTTTCTCAGTAATGCCACAAGCAGATATTTTGTTAGCAAGTGATAGCAATTGTAAGCTTTGAAGGGGAAGAAAGATACTATGTGCATATATATACATTGTCTGATTATTTACTTTTCTGTGTTATTAACATAGCATGGCACTTTTTTAAATTATACAAAAAAAAAATATATTTCGTGATTAAAAAGGTCAGCATCTGGTAAGTACAAACATAGTCGCTGATAGGTAAGTTCTACTATTATGCAGTGAGTCAGATGCAGTCCAACAACACTGGCTGAAAAAAAATGAGTCTTTTGAGCAGTCTAGCACCCTTTGTAAACTTCTACATGAGCTCTTTGCCTTTTTGCTCCATTGTTGCCAGGAGTGAAGGGCACGCACCTAAAACATCACACCATGATGGAATTGCAATGGGGATTACTTTCCTGACAACTTCATGGGATTCTGCATCATCCAAGGAAAGCTGTTGCACTTAAAATAGGAGGTTCACAGCTTTCTTCCCAAGACTTCCTCTTACTCTGAAATTGAGCTTGTACATGATTGAGTACGGAGAATAGAGAGATTTTTGACTTATTATGCTATCATGTTATTTTTACATACAGCACTTAGCTCTGTAAAGGTGCTCTTTAAGGATACCTGTAGCATGGCTTAGTCATACCTACATTGTATGAGTGGCATGTCCTTGGAAATTATGGCCACACTTCAGGCCCTTGCTGCATGCATATACACACACGCACACATTACCATGCTGTATCAAAATACTTTTTTTGCTGCTGCCTTCTCTGTTTCCACACGAAGCACTAAGCACAGAGCCTGCTCCTGTTTTCAGACCAGCTAACAGAGGAAATGAAGAATAGAGGCTTGTCCAAGACTTGCATGTACATTGTGTGAGGGAAACAAGCATATTCCCAGTCATAGCATCATCCAATCCAACATGAGTACCAAGTACAATCACAGCATAGGCCTTGCCATTTGGTTTGTGAGTCAGAGAACATATGTTGAAACCGAAAACAAATTTATTTTTTTGTAAAATGACATAACCTTCAATTTAATCCCATGCAAAACACTTTGATGATCTCACTCTAAAGAGGGTTCATAAAAGGAATAATTGCTGAAAAGTAACAAGCCACATATAATAGCTTTTCACTGTGATATTTTAAAAATCAAGAGGATGTGCACAATTGATTCTCAGTTTGGGATTGCCCTAGAAAATCACGGTATTGAAACTGCAGTTGAGGGAGTCTAAAGACAAGGACAAAGGCAGCTGTGAGCAACACAGTCTGAAAACCCCTGGCTCATTTAGAGAAAAATGATTAAGCCTGGAAAAATATGAAAGCATAGTCCACATTAATTGGTCTGGTGTTTCAAGGACGAACATCAAATTTAAGTCTAAAACGTGATCAACATGCCACAAAGACCAATTAAAAACATGTGCCTCTCAGAGCACATATAAAGAGGTCGATGAATAAGAAATAAATTTAAACAATATATTACACCAGAGAAAAAGGGGAGAAGGAAGAGGAAAGGACACGCAAACACCAAATACCCCCGGGCAGAGAGAAATAAGGAAACAGGGAATTAATTATTTTTCAGCTAAATAAAGATGATGGGACAAAAAAAAAGATATATTCAGAAAACAAGAATAAAATAAAATATAAACTAAAATAACATAACATAAAATTAAATTAAAATAATTATGAAAGTGAGGGAGGGTGGGAAACCACAGTAAAGAAAAATTCCTCATTTCAAATGATCTGACTAATCCAAGAGAAGAAAACTTCTTCCAGAGGGAATGAGGACTGCAGGAAATAACCACTGCCTTCATGGCTACAAACATCACAGAGTTAGGCATGACTGCTCCTTAGAGGTACGTTAGAAGCAAATGCTTTTTCCACCCCTAAGCCACAGACAGAAACAGATCCTGGTGGAGCACAGCAGAAGCAATAATGAGAAAAGAGGTGGCAGGGGTATTGGTATGAGGTGTGCTTCTGGAATGGGGTTGGCACAACCAGAGCAGCTGCTATCACAAGGTTATTATTCCAACACCACTGAATGTACTGAGGGTCTGAGGGAATTGGATCCTAAGGCTTATGTTGATGTTGTGGAGCTTTATATTGTTTCACCGTTGGCAGGAGCCGCAGATCATCCCTCTGAAATGAAAGCAGACGTACAGGAGACATGAATAAGGAACAACTGGCAAAAATAAGCTCTGTAACTAAATCATTGCAAAGGGGGAGGATGCTAACAAGATGCAGCATCCCAAAGATTTCAAAGAAGTAATTTGATTCAAATGCTCTATCTTTTGTGCTTCCAAGTTGGTGTAAGCTGTCTCTTTTTCAACAGACTGTGCCTGTCTTGGTATCACATTTAGGACATGTCAAGACCTCACTCCATTTATTTTCTTCCACTTCTCCTTTGGGATGGGCATATTTCAGAACCATGATAATTGTAGATGAAAGTTAGTATGACTTGTCCTTTTCATATGTGCTGTCATCTCATTTGGACATCATTACCTGAAGTATCTTCAGTTAATCCTCTGGATTGCTGGTAGAAAAGCAAACAACACAGTAAGTGACAAATGTATAACCATTAAATACCATTAAACAGTATGGAAGACTTTCTAAGACAATTTTCTGATTTCATATTTCTATTTTTATATTCTCTGACAGCCTTTCATTTTTTATAAATCAAATCATCTAAGGTGTACACTAATAGTGTGCTGAAAAGCTTTTAAAAAACAAGCTCATTAAAAATAATTTGTGTTAGTGAGATATGTTTTGATACAGAAAAAAAGAACTCTACTTCACTAACTCCATCTCATATCAATAAAACTGTATTATCTCAGTTCTGGAGAGACCTGTGTGCACATATCCACTGAGATAATTCTTTGCAAGAATGAAAACCAGTAGCTCCAATGCACTCTATGAAATACAGCTGTGTTAATGTAGATTCAATGTTGTGACACAATTTAGGTCCAGTAATATATATATTCAAACTTTGATTTTCTGCAGCAAATCTGTTTGATTTCTTGAAGTGGAACATCACTTCCTTCTTGGAAAAGAAAGTCCTTGAATTAAATGCATTTCCAAGGTTTTATATTGAATGCCACTTTGTTGAGAAGTTCTCATACTTTCTGGCTCACAGACCACCATGTACCCTGTACTGCTAGTGAGAATTTTGCAGCTTCAGGAAATTATGAATTCAGAAGAGTGCAAGATGTGACGCTGCCTACCTTGCACTACTTGTTTGGCATCACAGTTCTTGGGCAAATGCACGTAAGAGGCTTCTTACCCTATAACGGCATACATGTCATGCTGGGTATTTTACATCCAACCCTGTTCTTATCTAGCCAGTCTCAATAAAAGTATTAAATATGCCCTTACTCACAAAAAAAAAGTGTTATTCTTAGTTTAGATTTGGTGGTGAATAAGGAAACACTTATAATTGCCTACATTAGTGCTACCAGCACTAAACATCTGCTTCTAAAATAGGCATTTACCTGAATCCACATCAAGTAGTAATTTTCATCATCACTGCTTTCAGTAACAGTTAAATGTGCTACAGAATAGCAACTTTATTTGTGTGAAAGTGGTGCATGGGAGAGCATTACCAAGCCCTTTACAAGATAATGTCTATTTTTTTGGTTTCTAATGTGCAACAACTAGATATTCTCTTCTTGTCAGTATTATTTGGATAGTGAATATTTTTTCTCATTCTGTACAGTATTTTTCTGTTCTCCCCTTTGTATTATCACTTTCACACATTACTTCTAAGAATGACAAAGATTTTAACAATGTTTATATAGTACTTGCTACTATCTTGAATGCAGCTGCCCCTGTTAAGGTATTTAGACTGTAAGACAGGAAAGCATGTAGACCCTGGATTTCTAGGGAGGCATACACATGCCTTTAGCAGAGCATGACCTGTTCAGAAAGAGTATGTGGCTCCACAAAGAGGGAGGAACTGCCGCAGTCAGTAGGTGGATAACAGGTATTCACCTATCCTATCCCCAGGTAGGTAGATAGGAGGGAGGGCAGAGCACATTTTGGCATGGAGGACAGGATGGGCCTGTTGAAGCTCCATGTAAAGGCTATGTGCCGACCTTCCCCACTTGCTGAAAGAGATGAAGGACAGACTGTGTATATGACTTTTCATCCCCATCTTCTTCCCCTTCAGAGTGGGAGCAGCTACCTCTACTATCTATATCCCCCTGATAAGTGTTCTTCTCCTGACACTCACCCACTGGCACTCACCCCACCTCCAATGGTGCAAAAAAGCTGGCAATGCAGAAGAGAGCCTATCCTGAAAGGGTAAAGAGTGTGCAATTCCTCCCCAGCAAAGGGAAAGTACAGGGTTTTTAGGAAGATGTCCTCAGGGAGGGGACAAAGGAACCATGGCACATGGATTTTAACCATCCCTAATATCACCTACATTTCTGTCTCGGAGAGGCCAAATGACCTTTGCTATATTCTTTGCTCGGATCAGTTTCAGACAGTCAAGGCAGGGTTCACGTGTAGTGATGAGTTCAGCATTACACAGGTCTCTCTCAGAACTGAAAAAAAAACGTGTCACAATTACAAACAAGGTGTGCTTGCAGAAGGAATTATTTCTCTTTGAATCTAGAGTGGGTTCTTCTCTTATTTCCTCTTCAATTATTGGCCAAAAGAAGTGAGTAAGGGATCTCCAGCTCATGACAAGCAAATACTTGCAGTTCGTACCATCAGCTTGCCAACTGAGGAAATGAATCTACCTATTCTTTGTGTACTCACAGCACCATAAAGACAGATACTGTGTTTATGAAATGCATATCCAGGAATCATTTCACCACCAAACCACAATCACCTGAATAATTGGGTAGGTAACAACAGAGCACAAACTTTTGCAATGTCACTGTCAGTCTACAGAGAAATTTCCCGCGGGCAAGAAACTTCATAAAACTCAGTCTGCCTGTGTCAATGGATCACCCAGCTGGGATGCTCTGCATTTCCAATGGCTAGGTAATATGAGAGCCCATACAGAAGCAATAGCTCTGCAACTGGTTACTCCCATCCTCAGCACGTGTGAAGACCCCTGCCCATGACTGCCCACAGGAACTGGGCTTACATAGGGTCAAAGACATGGCACTAGCAGAAACCTCTGAGGATCTGTCACATAAGTCGAATGCCTGCATTAGAATATAAGATTACATGGACCAAGATCTCTGCAAAAAACAATTGTATTCAGTGGTTTATATTCCTTTCCATCCTATGTAACATTACTTCTAATTTCTGCGCTTTGAAATTCCCATGCTAGATTAGTCAGAGATCTTTTTCTTCATTAAGCACCCAACACCAAGCCTTCTTTTGTTTAATTCCTTCAAAATATTTGATGAATTCCTACCTCATAATAATTGCATTAGCTTCTGCACACACAGTCGCATGCTGGTAAAAATCCACATCCGCCTTCTTGCAAAATAAACTATTCATTGCCCCTTTTGGGTATCCACTGTAGCCCACAGCTACCTAGAAAGAAACAACATACAAAGAAATAAAAGGTAATGTTGTTCTGAGACCTTTAGTTATTTACAGCCCATTCCAACTCCTAAGAGTTGTTAACAACTTCAGGGAGAGTTCTAATGTGATATTTGGTAATGTTTATGCAGATCTCCGTTTCAAAGTGATTAATTATAGATCTCAACTTGTTAATAACTTCAGGGAGAATTCTAAGGCGATGCTGTTTGGTAATGTTTATGGAGATCTCCATTTCAAAGTGGTTGATTATAGATCTCGATCATATATTTGTATGAAATGTGAAGTTTCAGAAAATCATGAATTCTTTTTTCTCCCAAAGGAAAAATTGCCTTTGTTTCCAGAAATACATTTTCCTATGAACAGTTCAGACATTTTTAGAAGAAAAGCACAATTTCCTAAACCACATAAACTTTTACTTACAATGTTGTCTTCCTTGAAAATCACCGTCCCCACTCCATTATTATTGTCTGAGAATAAACAGTCAAATTATCACAATTATAAATTTACACAACACTATGATATGACAACAAACCTGCTGGTCAAAGAGTATGACATTCTTACTCATGTCTGCTGGTCCAGAGTTTCATTAATTCTAATGTTTCATTAATTACTTAACAGAATGCAGTGTAATCAATTAAAGATGGGGGGGGGGTGTTGCTCAGTATATTACATCTCCAGGAATATGACTAACAATTGTGTAGAATTTTTCCAAACTGAGTAAATTAAGGAACTAAATTTAGTAATAGTAATTTACTTACCACTTCTGGAAGCTAACAAATCACAGAGCTGTAATGCATGGGTGTACTTAGGATTATTCGTTACAGTGGATTCCTTCTCTTCTAAGACTTTTATTTTTTCATCTTTGCAACTTGCAAGAGATTTATAACAGTTCTTCGCTGTAGTAAGATTTTTTTTGTATTTTTTCAGGCGGTCATCCTTCAGGTGTTCCAAGTTAAATTCTTTTAAAATATCCCCACTAGGTTTCTTATCAAATACAGATGAAACTGGAACTAAATCATCATTAGAAGATACTTTTTCATTTGAATTAAGTATTTCCATCTTTCTTTGGTTGGCTATAGTTGGTACATATACCGCTGCAACAACACTGCTTTCTGTAAAGATGGCATTAGCATGTTTTACCAGATTATGCTTTGAGTTTGCCGTTTCGATTTCCAAATTTGGCCAGTAATACACATGTGAGACTTGTGCTGAATAAACAAAACAGATATGTAAGATTAATATTAAATATGAAATATACTAGCAGTTTCGTTTTCCACTAACAAATATAAAGTGATATAGAATATACTTAAGCAAGCTGCAGCTTTTCCTCACGTTAGTAAAATAATATTAAAATATTTTTTATTATCACATTATTTTCAGAGTCAAAAGGGAAACTAAATATACAATTGGTTACTTTATATTTTTTCCAGGTGATTAAACATTTATCTCTAGTTATGGTTACCAAATTGTAAAGATTTCCAAAGCAAGGAGATTGTTTTGAAAAGATACAGGAAGTTACTGAAGTTGTTGTAAAGGAAAAAAATGTGTACCATTAACATATATTTATGTATATCATATATAATATATATATAAAACATATTTTGTCTCCTTTTTTTTTCTAATTTAACAGGCTCTGATGGCTCTTTTTTTCATTAATGACTTGCACTATTCCTTCATGATCCATGTGTTAGTAAATACCAACAATTTTTACAATTACATTATGAATCACATCTTAATGTTCCCTAATAATCCCAGCTACCTATTGTATAAGATATTTAGCTACTTCAGCTTCTGACAGGAACCTGAATGATTCATATAAGAGCCAACTGAGGAAAAATGCAGAGAGCAAAATGGAAGCAAATGAAGAGGAAGAGAAATGAATGGTGTGACTAGCTTACCAGCCTGTAAGTATGACACATGCAGTCTTAGTCTAGGAGATATTTCAGTTTTGATACTGACCTTGAACCAGCAATTTTGCACAATAATTGCAAGGTTTCCGAGACATGTAAACTTCACAGCCTTTCAGTGCATTAGGAAACCTTAGCAGCACTTTTGTCACAGCATGAAGTTCCCCTGTTGAGCAGCCCAGGGCAGTAATCCTTTTGGGTTTGCTTGGTTCACAGATGACAATTCCAGTTCTGCAATGCTGCATATACATACACAAATAAATGTACAGGTATACAAATGAAAGTATAACCATCCAGCGAATGACAGTCCAGCCAGATTATGTGTACATAAAAATAAAGCAATTGAAGGATCTCACAGAAAAAGAACGGCATTTTTTGCAAATGGGTAGGAATGAAGCAGTCTAGAAAATTCTTGTGGATTTTCAGACAGTTTTGTTGTGTCTACAGCACCTAACTCAACTGTTATATTGTAGATCAAGAGGGCAAATGCTTTTACTGGAGTCCAGAAAGGGTTAAGAGGTAGACAGACCTTTGGAAAGTCTGTAAGTGTGTGTAACATCATGAAAAAAGCAGGGGGATCAATATTCAAATAATTGGTCTACTGCAGACTACCAAAACAGGAAAGTGACAAGGTGTAGTATCAAGCAGATGTCACTATTCAAATGATACTCGTGGTGGGAACCACCAGACATCTATGTAACTTCAAAGCTTCAAACAGCTTTGATTTACTAAAAGTCCAGAGTCTAAGCATACAATAGGTTAGAATCATAACTGCAGGTCTGTGACCCACAAGCAACCGGCACCTTATGCCAGGGCAGGGCCAGTAGAAGCATGGAAGAGCAGAGAAAACTAGGAAAAAAGTACAGAAGAGTTGCAGACAAACCATCACCTACACAGCCCCAACCTCCTGCAACACCCATCACCTCACTGAGAGTAACATAAGGTAAAAACAATGGAAGCTGAGACTAGGAAAGTGCGAGGGTAGGTGTTTGGCTCAAGCCGAGATAAATGTTTACTTTGGTGTTTAACTCTTTCTGTTCTCTTTTTTTTTTCTTCAATACCCTATTCAGTAAACAGAAGTTTGCATTTATTGGCAATAAATTGGATTAAGTAAAAATTCTCCAAATTAAGATCACTTTGCCCCCACCACCAAGTCAGTAATTTTTAAATCAATATCCTATTTGACAATATGGCTTTTTTTAGCCCTGGTAACAATGAATATGCTTGAGTTGAAGTAACTCACAGATTCCTGTGATTCACTTGGTAAATTTTCCATATGTAGTGCTAAAAAGATGCACAGGTCTTCTTTCTTCAGATGAGGAATGGGAGGACCTAGAAAGAAACAGTGGACAGAAAAGCTAATCAAAACAGTCCTGCAGAAAAAAATAGGCAATGTCACACAGTTGGTAAATAATTACTGGTAATGGTATAGAAAGGATAATTACTTAGCTCTCTGGTCCTAGGTGGAAAGTTGGGGAAAAGGGTTATAATTTCCATGCACATTGAACTAAAGAACTGTTTCTTAATAATGCATCAGAGCTTGACAAGCCTGTTACCCTGTAAAGAGCCTTATCTTTGCATTTCAAACGTCACCACATCTATTTATGCGTGCCAGTCCTCTGAGGAAAATGGAAATGATCATCTTAGGAGCCGCTGCTTGACAGAGTGCAGAGCTATCCTGGATCTCCTTTTTTTCTGTTTTGTTTGTGGATTTTTTGGGGCGGGGGAAGTTTGTGGTTGTTCTTTTTTAATGCTATCTACTCTTCTGTCATAGGCAACGATTTCTACTGACTTCAAGAGGAAAGAAAAAGTATGTGAATATTCAATGGGCAATGTTAGTCTAGGAGATATAGTCTAGGAGATCTAGCCAATCTGGAAAGACCAATTCTACTGCCCTATGTCATACTATTCTTCAAAATATCTCAACTATCACAGCTGAAAAACCTCTCCTTTTTATGCCTTTTTTTTTTTTTTTGGGTTAAGATTTCAATACCATCTGGTAAGACTGGTAAAAAAATGGATACAATTACTTTTACTTAAAATAAAATTAAAATTAAGACAAATATGTTGCCAGAGAGATATGTCAGAAGTTTGCACATAAGCTCTCTGTGCTGTGTAATATCCATCTCACTACTTTCAGGACAATTACATTTATTCAACACTGTTCAATTAAATTAAATTAGGGAAACCAAAAACTGATGATTAGTGAAGAGTTTATTGAATTTATTTCACTTTGCCTTCATCACTCATTTCTTCTGTTCCTTCACTGTCTTCTGAATCACTGGATACTGGAAGACACAAAAAAAAATGTTGGATTTGAAATAGCACATAAAAAGAGATCACATGAAATTTAATCACATGAAGTTTATCAGCCCTCCCCCTCTTATCAACACTGACACACTATCCATTGTGAGCTGGACATCTCAGAAGTCACAATTGGTTCAGGACAATATTTGACAGTCCGGCCAGACTCTGATACTTTATTCAGAAACAGTCTATATTAAGATGAATGGGAATTGAAAAGATATAAAACCGTTAACTGAAATTCATGTAGAAATAAATACAGCCGCCCAGTGGTGGTGGTGACAATGGGATAGGTTGGGTTTTTGTTGTTAATCTTAAAGTTTGAATTTCATATTTTTAACCTCCAAATGCATAATGTTTTCCTCACATACAGAATGGCCAATAATTACACTGCCTTCTCTCCCCCTTTGCTTTCACACTCAAGACTGCCTTTTCTTGCCTTTGATACTGAGTCTCTGCTTTTTCATTTCTGCCATCCTGTCATCTTCCTGGTTCTTGCTCTTCCCATTAGTTTGATTTCATTCTACTGCAAATACACAGTTTCCAATTCTAAAATAATCTATCCCTTAACCCTCTTCAATTACATAGATCTCCCCAGTTCACTTGTCCATTGTATCTTCACACTCCATGAAGATGTGATCAGCAACAATTTTGGAGATTCTATCTTCTAATTTAGTTTTGTTTCAGATGTTTATTTCAAATCTTTCTCCCTTAGTAAGAGCATTGGTGCTTCAGCTTATACATCATTAAGATTTCAAATTTCTACCTCAGTTATAACTTTGTTTTTCCTTAAACCAAGCAAGAAGTATGAAGGATTTTGTGTATTCTCAAAACGTGTGATGTTCTTAAAAACTTCTGTCACTTTTTACTGGTTGTCTACTCTAAATAAAATGGTAGGTTACTTAAGAAAATTTCAATATCGATAATGTTATTCTTTGATAGGTGAACCTGACTCTCTAACTGGGATAAACCCAGTGGCATGTGGAGAAGAGTCAAGCCCAATACCCCCACAGATTTGGATATATCCATGTAAGGCTGGAAGAAATTCACAGAAAAGGCATGAAATAAGAAAACTATCACAAAGGATGCCGATTAGTCATTTTGGGAAAAAAAATAATGACAGCAAAAGAGCAGAAACCATTAACCCTGGAAATTTGCTATGTTATTCCTCTGTCTTTTCAGCTGTAACCAGTTATGGGGTCTGGCCACTTAGAGACCAAGAGGGAGACATTTCTGTAGAATTCTGTCTTCTGCATATTCAGAAGTACTGTGGCAGAAATGGAATCTGCAGGGTACAGGTAATGTGTATATATATATATATATATATAATGTATAGCTCCAAAAGAAGGTTGGAACAAGCAGAACTAATTTAAGGGTAACTCAATTCAATTTACAGTAATTATATGACATTTATAAACAGGGCTCTGTTGTATTTATTACATCCTGCAAAAAGGGCTTTAAAGAAAATTACTTAGTAACATGCCATACTCCTAAATTTAGACACCAATACCAAAAGAAGCCAAATGAAATGGTAAAAAGGAGGAGGAAATGAATCTTAACCATACCTTCCATAAGTTGAGTTTCACACTGTTTCCACTGGAATAAAAAGAAAACAAACAAATAAACAAGGTATTTAAAGCATATGTAAACATTTAGTTTATACATTCCACAATTTATCTGCTCACATCTGTCATTATATTTGTAACAGCTATTAATCAATCTACCAAGAAGACTTCTTGGACCACTGGACATACATGGGTCCTTGAAGTCATTCTTGTCTGTTCCAGTTCTGATGGTTTTGTTTTTTACAGGGAGATAAAAGTCAACTACATAGCCTACTCTCCTCTAAACATTTATCCAGTTCATCAGTAGTTTTGTGTGTCCCAGTTCCATCTTTTCCCAACTCAGACTTCTTTACTTCCATCAGATATATCTTGAAAGTGAAGCAATATTTTTCTACATTATCTGCTTCCACTTCTGGCATGCCTTCTACCTGCTTAATTATTTATCTTTTAGTAATAGCACCCTGAGTCTAATCTTCAAGATTCAAACCTACCTCATGATCGTCAAAGTTTTTCTTTAAACCATCTAGATGATCCTAAAACAAAAAAGAGAAGCAAGCAAATAAACCAGGCACTCACAGAATCACTGAGGTTGGAAGCCACCTCTGGAGGTCTCCAGTCCAGAGACCTCAAGGCAGGGTGAACTACAGCAGATCTGCTGGGGTCATGTCCACTCAGGTTTTGAGTATCTCAGAGGATGGGGGTTCCACAACCTGTCTGGGCAATGTGTCCCAGGGCTCATCACCCCCACAGCAAAAAGGCTTTTTCTTACATTTCAGTGAAATTCCCTGTATTTCAAATTGTGCCCACTGCCTCCTGTCCAAGCACTGTGAAGGCTCTGTCTCTGTCTTCTTTATTCCTTCCCATCAGGTATACACATGGATAAGATCCCACCTGAACTTCTCTTCTGCTGGCTGGTCAGTCTCAGCTCTCGCAGCCTTTCCTCATACAAGAAGTGGTCTTGTTACTTAATTGTCCTTAAGGCCTTTAGCAGGACTTTCAGTCATATGTCCTTATCTTTCTTTGTACTGGAAAGGCCAGAACTGGAGACAGCATTTCAACCATTACCTCACCTCAGGTAGCTGTCAAACCACCTCAGTGTCCACTTATCTAGTTCATTATGCGCCAGTTTGTCTTTTAGGATGCTGTGGGACATGCTGTTGCAATTGTTAAATTCAAGATGAAAAACGTCTATTGCTCTATACTCATCCAGTTGGTCATCTCATCACAAAAGGATGTCAGATTAGTCAGGCATATTTTCTCCTTCATAAAACCATGCTAACTACTTATAGTCACCTTATTGACAGGTTCCATGATCTTTGTGCACATTCAACTTCTTTAAATATTCCATAACCAAATTCTACTCTACTACCTTCATTGTTCCACATCTTCCCACCAGTCTCAGGGACATGGAATTCCTGAAGGCAAATCTTGCCACCAAAAAACAAGGCATAGAAGATTTTTAATACCTTGGCCATGGTTGTCTTTATAGGGGTAGAATTTAATCTAGAATATGGGAATTAAATGGATACTTGGGCCTGAACCAACACTGAGACATTGTCTTTCAGATAGATTTCTCCAAAGGTGTTCACAAATTATTTGAGTTAAATTACATCTGATTAAATCCTACTAAGCAATTGTTGGACTTCCCTGAAAGGAATAATACCCCTTTGCAAACTCAGAAAATACTTCTTCCTTCCACTTCAGGTTCATCACAAGGATGATATCTTGTGATGAATCTGAATGCATGTTGTCTGATCTCATCAGATGCTTCAAATACGTGAATGTGAGACTTACTTAGAAAGAAGAATGTTGCATTTACCCTAAGGGATAAAAAGTGTGTGCAGTGCAGGACAGAGGTACTCCTTCATATTGGAGGTCTTAATGAAGAATACCACAGCTCCATTTGGTATCTGTGTTCCAAGTTCTTCAACCAAGACACACATCAAGGTCTCATGACCATAAGAGTTCGGACACAGCCAGATGCAAAATCAGGGTACATTCCAGAGCTCTGACATATAGCTTGAACAGAAAGATAGATGTCCCCAGTGCGAGATCTTAAAATATGTAACTTGTTCCTTTCCTGACTTTAGAAGTATAGGAGTGTAAAGATCTCCAATGCAGAAAGCAAGCCATAAAATTCCAGCTGTATATGAGTATAAAGAATGAAACATTTTTGTGGGTGATGACCTGGTATAATTCCTCTCCTATACAGAAGGGTAAGAACTGATGCATTTTTCTGTAAGTCAACTATTAATAAACTGACCACCCTTTCCTCAAACATGTAATTACACTATGACAATAAATAAAATTATACAAACATACATCTTCACTTTGTTTGGATGGTTCTTTTACACAATGAATTGTCTTGATTTTCATATCCTTCAAAAGGTTCTGACAGTCATGACAGGGAGGTTTGATGCAGCAAAGTATATCGCTATCTTCTATTTTGGACTTTGATCTGAAAAATGTATGTATTTGCAAAATTAATTCATTTTCTGCAAAGCTAAAAATAATCTTTAAATTGGATTAATGGGTGAAGAACAGATGGAAAGGACAAAGAGAAAATCCATGATTAGTCACTGACTTATACTGCACACTATTCACATCTATTGTAATAAAGAATGCCTGTGAAGTCACCCATTACCAGATTTGTAACAATAACCTGTACAGGAGAGCATTTGCTTCAGCATGGAGAACAACTTCTGATTTTGAAAGTTCAGTCCTTCGATTTTTTCTCCCTTTAGAGGGCAAGTTTGCATATAATATGCCAATGGGATATCCATTATACCCTGCAGCAAACTGCCAAAAAAAAACAACAAAAGGAAACAATAATAAAAATCTAACAGATCCTTCCAAACATTTTAATCACCTACTAATACACCTTTAAAATCTAAATATATGCTTTCTATATATTTCTAGGTACATCTAACTACTAAGTTTTTACAGCTATTTATATAAGATTTTAATCAGATTTAACACTTTGCCACAAGCATCTCACTACCCCATTATGTTACCCCTTTCAACACAGCCAGGATCTAATTTTGTTTTTGCACAGTGAGGTCATTGTTCTCCATCAATTTCATCACCATCTTTTTGTCTCTCTACCTGTGCAAGAAATTTAGGATCCTCCTTTTTAATGGGCTTTACAGATTTATTTATTTTTTTTTAGTTAAGTGATAAAATATTATAATTACTATAAGCATATTTATTATGGGAGAAGGTGTTCATGAAGAAAATTCATCTCAATTAACATGTCTACACCTGAACTAGTCAGCATTTATATTCAAGAAAGTCTAACCAAGTCTACCTGGCCTATTCCAGGCTCCAGATTAGGATGAATGACACTCTAGACCTCCACCATCTATGAAAGCAAGCCAGGGCAAATAGAATCATAGAATCATAGAATAGTTAAGGTTGGAAAGGACCTTAAGATCACCAAGTTCCAACCCCCCTGCCATGAGCAGGGACACCTCACTCTAAACCATATCACCCAAGGCCTCATCCAACCTGGCCTTGAACACTGCCAGGGATGGAGCATTCACAACCTCCTTGGGCAACCTATTCCAGTGCCTCACCACCTTAACAGGAAAGAATTTCCTCCTTACATCCAATCTAAACTTCCCCTGTTTAAGTTTTAACCCATTACCCCTTGTCCTATCACTACAGTCCCTAATGAAGAGTCCATCCCCAGCATCCTTGTAGGCCCCCTTCAGATACTGGAAGGCTGCTATGAGGTCTCCACACAGCCTTCTCTTCTCCAGGATGAACAGTCCCACCTTTCTCAGTCGATCTTCATATGGGAGGTGCTCCAGTCCCCTGATCATTCTCGTGGCCCTCCTCTGGACTTGTTCCAACAGTTCCATGTCCTTTTTATGTTGAGGACATCAGAACTGCACACAATACTCCAAGTGAGGTCTCAAAAGAGCAGAGTAAAGGGGCAGGATCACCTCCTTCGACCTGCTGCTCACACTCCTTTTGATGTAGGCATTTACACTGCAGATATCTACACTGAGTCAAATAAACTGCACCCCTTTGAGCACAGAATAGAAATTTTACAACTTTTGGAGAATTCAATGTACTTACAAAATATCCATCCTGACTATAGAGTGTACACCCCACACCTCGGTTTGGATCATCTTTTAGAACAGAGAAAGATTTTTATGTCACTTAAAAACATACTTTTTTCATACTTTAAAACATATATTTACAGATTAACATGTAGAGCCTTAATGCATGGTCATTAAGTGACTGCTTATATGTTGAAAGAATCCCTCCACGCAGATACATTATCCAATTCTAGACAGATAACCTTACACAGTAACACAAGGCATAACTACTATCAAGTACAACAAATGTCAGATTTCAGAAGAACACTACAACTTAAAATTTGACTCAAGGTACACTTATTCTTTGATTAGCAATTGTAAAGTATTAGCTTTATACAAAATCTTAATAACACAATAGAAAAGGTTATAAAATTTCATTTATGAGATTCGCTGTAAGTTCACCTAATTACATTAACAATAAACTAAGAATGTTTAAATCTATCAATATATAATATTCTTTCCCCCCCCCTCTAAAATTAATTAAGTGGTAAAGCATTATTATCTATGTTTCCATAACATGTGTTTCCATCTTCTACTTTAGGTTTTAGCTCAGTATTGCAACAAACATTATAAACAACAACATTAAACTTTAGTGTAACAAATATATTAACGGAAAACATTTGAGCAGTTATGTTAGGAAAGCATGACAATTCTTCTCATATCCTCATATGTTGTGAAATACTCTTTGAAGTAGCATAATGAATGAATCAATGGCAATAATAAAAACCAGATAGACAGTAATCCATTCTTTATATTAGGTTACTATTCTTTCTATACTTTCACCATAACTTACCAGATCTTGCTGCTAAAAAATAACAAAGCTGCAATGCATGTCGATGAACATTTTCCTTTGGTTCTTTTTTCTCAAGTTGGGAACATTCCAATAAAAAATCATAGCAACGTAAAGCATTTTCCATTCGTTTGACACACATATCTTTACCTATGTTAAACAGGGAATGATATTTTTCAACGTCTTCAGTTTGATAACTGAACGACTTAAAATTGCTGTTTGGTTGTCCTTTGCATCGTGTTTTTTTTGCGATCATTTTCACAGTTTCAAAGCTTGTCGTGGGTAAGAGCACACTGCTACTTATAGGACTTCCGAGAAGCATACAATCAGCCTGCTGAGAATCTTCTTTAACCACTGAATCATCTCCCTTTTTTTCAGGAGCTATTGGCCAGTAATAGACTGCAGAAACTGAACCTAGAGACAAACACTGAAAGTCACATAATGTGCCATACAGTTGGGTGAGACTTTTCATTCACATGTTTTTTGATTGAAACAGTGGGCCAATATTCTATTGCATTGCAATTCTGTGTATGCACTAGAGTCCAAAGCCTATCTTGTTACCCACAGGCTTAAACCACTCCGCTGTAATAGTTCTATATTCAATTCAAATCTCAATTTGAATATAGACAATCAGTACCTTACTTTCATTAACAACCCCCCACAGTTTGCGAGTCCTTTGCCATGCAAGCAGTCTCACTTATTTTTAAGAGACTATCTACATAAAAAAAGGATTACATCACTACTGGACTGAGCCATGTAGCACATTTTCCTAGGCATGATGTTTAGCGGGGTCACTTATGAACTTTTTACTCAGGCAAAACTGGAGTTAATGAAGATAGATTAAGAATGTATTTTATACCTTGAATGAGGAATGTCATGCAAGTTGAGCATGGTTTCCTTGACAAATATACAGTGTGGTCACGCAGAGAAAAGGGAAGACACAGAACGATATGCTGCACAGCATGCAGCCCAGGTTTGGAGAAACTCATAGCTACCATTTTGTGAACTTTGTCTGATTCGCATATTACAATCCCAGTCTTATTGAACTGAAGGGGGGAAAAAAAAAAAGGCAGCTGATTTTTCACAGCAGATTTTATTTTACAAGCACAGAGATTAAAAAAATATTCTCTAGGTTTTGAAACACTGTACTAAATTTAACTGCACTTTAGACTTTAGTCCCACCATCTTCAGGTGACAACTTCCCTTTATGAAAAGTTAATGTAAATCTAGTACGAATTGATTTTTTTGTTTGCACTTTTTCTCAAGAAAATTCCACTTAAGAGGCACATCAAACCAAAACTGGAATCAATCAGAAAGATGAAACTCTAGATTTCTAAAACACTCTCAGAAGTATTTGTTTCTTTTAGCCAAATTTGTCCAAGCATACACACACACACAGACGTAAAGGTAAGTTCTTCATAAACCTGTATTAGCTGTGGTAGGAAAAAAAGAGAAAAACACATTGGCATTAAAGTTAATAATGTCTCTAGATACACCACTCCACCCCACCCCCCTCACCCCCAAGTCTGGTAGATCCACTACAGAGTATAATTTACTTTGTGCACTATTGTCGCAACAGTGGGCAGTAGAATACCTCCATTACATGGATGCACAGGAGATTTAAAGAGCATGGACACTCATTATATAATAATCACTACAGAGTAACTTAGATTTTAATTGGAATCCTATCCATTACCATAGAATCATAGAATAGTTAAGTTTGGAAAGGACCTTAAGATCACTTAGTTCTAACTCCCCTGCCGTGGGTAGGGACACCTCACACTAAACCATCTCACCCAAGGCTCTGTCCAACCTGGACTTGAACACTGCCAGAGATGGAGAATTCACAATTTCCTTGGGCAACCCATTCCAGTGCCTCACCACCCTAACAGGAAAGAACTTCTTCCTTATATTCAATCTAAACTTCCCCTGTTTAAGTTTTAACCCCTTACCCCTTGTCCTATCACTACAGTCCCTAATGAAGAGTCCATCCCCAGCATCCTTGCAGGCCCCCTTCAGATACTGGAAGTCTGCTATGAGGTCTCCATGCAGCCTTCTCTTCTCCAGGCTGAGCAGCCCCAACTTTCTCAGCCGATCTTCATATGGGAGGTGCTCCAGTCCCCTGATCATTCTCATGGCCCTCCTCTGGATTTGTTCCAACAGTTCCATGTCCTTTTTATGTTAAGGACAGCAGAACTGCACACAATACTCCAAGTGAGGTCTCACGGGAGCAGAGTAAAGGGGCAGGATCACTTCCTTCGACCTGCTGGTCACACTGCTTTTGATGCAGCCCAGGATACAGTTGGCTTTCTGGGCTGCAAGCACACACTGAAGCTGGCTCATGTTCATTTTCTCATCGACCAGCACCCCCAAGTCCTTCTCCACAGGGCTGCTCTGAATCTCTTCTCTGCCCAGCCTGTAGCTGTGCCTGGGATTGCTCCGACCCAGGTTTAGGACCTTGCACTTGGCATGGTTAAACTTCATGAGGTTGGCATCAGCCCACCTCACAAGCGTGTCAGGGTCCCTCTGGATGGCATTCCTTCCCTCCAGCGTATCAACCGAACCACACAGCTTGGTGTCATCAGCAAACTTGCTGAGGGCACACTCAGTCCCACTGTTCACGTCATGGAGGTTATCTAATCCACCTCCCCACTCAAAGCAGGGCCAACTTCAAAATTAGGCCAGATTATTCAGTTCTTAGATAACAGTTTTTGCCTCCTCTGTCCCAGAAGCAGTTGGAATAACCTACTCCAGGTGATCATCTACAGATTCAGCAGTGCTGAAGTTCAGCAACACCTGCAGGGAGCCTCTCACCACATGAAGGTCTGCTCCACCTGCCCTCACAAATGTCTGCATGAGAACTGAATACCTTGTGATATTTTTCAGAAAAGAATAGTAACTTTGGGATTCAGTAACATCTTTCAAGAAGACTGTGAACATGTATTGCTGTAAATTTCTCAAATAAATAACAGCATTAAGCAAAGCAAGAATGAAGAAAATAGAGATATCTGCAGAGATTTATTACTGACCACCTGACCAAAAGGTAAAAGGCTGAAATGCCTTTGTTTATAATAAAGCAATTTTCTGATGTATTTAAGGACCTTTTGATAATGGTAGACTGAATTCTGGAGATGGCAGCTAGAAAAGTAGTATGTTCAGGACATACCTGCAGCTATGGAAGCATACTGCAGCCTATTTTTATTACAGCAATGAGTGGGAAAGCAGATACTTTACATTTTATTGTAACACAGAAGAAATCACCATAAAACTGAAAATGAAAAGTAATCCCAATAAGAATTATGATGTTATACGTAAGAAAGAATGTTGTAAAAATAGAATGATGATAATTATTTCAGAGAGATATATATCAACAAATTTAAGCAACTTTTAGGAAATCTCTTGGAAAAGTATTCCAAGGACTATGAGAGCCTGACTTAGTAGAAGACAATCAGCAGGGAAATATCCTGATGTAAGGGAAAAGTCAGTAACACCATGAGACCACTTTGGTTGTAAAAAACAGATCTTTACCAAAAGTAGACTCAGAAAACAGGAAGTAAAGACAATGTGAAGAATAAGGATAAAGGAATAGTATAGCAGATACAGGTAAAAATAGAAAGACTAAATTATTGAAAAAATACAGATGCTTTCACTAGCAAGGGATACAAAAGGCAAAAAGAAAAGGGTATATATAAAATCACAGGAAGAAAGTCAAAGGAGGCAGTTACATTACACAACAGGGAAGGAGAGCAAATAATAATACAGAAAAGGTTGCACAGCAACAAGTTGAAACTAAAACCAAACAAAACAAGATCCTGCTTTGGAAACATAAACTGCACAACCAAACATGATATAGAAAACATTTGATAGCCACAAGAGTCAGGAGACTATTGTGAACTACAGTTCCACAGACCAGCAACACACAATGTTACTATTGACCTCCTCGCATAATAAACATTTAGAGGAAGTGCACAACTGTAGTTACTCAATCTGAAGCACAAACCCAAAAATCAAAATACAACAAAAATCTAGGAGAAAGACTGAAGCTTCACTTAAGAAGGTTGAGCAATTGCTCCTAGAAAAGTCTGAAGATCAGGTTAGACAAGTATCTGATACGGGTGTTGTAATTTGACTTAAATCTGCTTCACAGCAAGGAAATGGGTTAGATTACTTCAGCCCATTTTTATGATTCCATTGTTTTACATTCAAAGCTGGTTATTATTATTAGGTCCTCTATCAGATCAACTGTTTATAAGTTCAGTAATATTTAAGAAGTAGTTCTTAAAGTTTGCAGAAGTGTCGCCATCACTGTTACTGTTACCTGATAATTTGGTCCCTGTGTAGTATTTTATTGATAGTTTTATAAACCGTTTTCAGATGACCTGGAATAGGGAAAACTTTCTACACAGCCAATCGGCATATGACTTTGAAGATAAAATACTTAATATTTCATATTCACAACTATAATTAAGCTAGGGTGCATTTTAGTTTTGGAAATAAGAAAATGAATAAATGGTAAGATGGAGTTTGCTGTTTCTTTTAGAAAAGCACAATGGCTCTTAAGAGTGTCTGGGACCATCCCAGCCTGTTCTGCAAAGTCTGTCACTCTTGTCCTGTGAGGAAAGGGCTAAAAAGAGCTCTGCTTAACAAGCTACTGCTGCTTCAGCTGTGCTTAGTACTGAGAAAGTTTTCTGTTTTCTCTCACCTAACAAATGCTATCCCTAAACTGATCCTTATGTGAATGAGTTCACAGCCTACAGTTCTGCTGAGACGAATCTGAGGAAGACTCCCAACACTGAAAAAGTCTGGCACACAAAAGAAAAGGTAGAGTTTCATGCTGGTCTTGCTACTATGTGTGATAGGTTCTATTCTCATAATATAAATGGATAAAGTACTAAAATGTCTTCAGAGACAGTCACACAAAGAATTGTACTCCCTGAGTTAGTAACATCCCCAAAGAGAAAACACATTACCACTGTCCATGCTGTCTAGTACCATTCCAGCCATTGACAAGACTGTCAATTTGAATACATGAGTCTTCTTTTAGCTGGGTGTTTCACCTGCTTTGTGCCATTCCCAAAATCAATGACAGCTCTGGCTAAACCACTGAAACTAGGTGCATACCCAGGACCATCAGGAACAGAAACTGAATCTGGTTCTGTACCCACAGGAAGGACAGAGAAAGGCCAACAACTGCCTCATAAAATGATTCACTACTTTAAGTCAGAGGTAAACACAAATACTCTTCATAATGTCCCTACATGTAGAAAACTGAACATCATTTATCCCCATATTTCAAGCAGGAAAAGCAACCACATGACAGTGCCACTTTTCCCAGGCAATCCCCTTCCATTTCTATGATTCTGTGTTTCTATGATTCTATGATTTCATTACGGTATTCATGAGCAATTAGGACATGACAGTATGCTTCAGCAGTATGACACAGGGAAATGAAAAAAATTGGTATTAATCAATTCTTAGGAATCCAGTATCTTTATGTAACTTTATCAGATTTCCATGAAAACTTTACCAGCACAGCTTACTAGCAGTAACTTTCAAAACACAAGACTAGAATGGATAACCTCATCAGATATCACTCCACCATAAAAGTGGCAATCACACAATAGATGCTTCTGAATGTTTTGTTCAGTGAATGCCATAGATGTTTTAAAGGCTAATTCTCAGTAAAATAAGCAGTAAAAATATTTCCTAGCAATGACACCCTGTTACATACCTCATCAGACGGGGCATGACACTCTGGAGACTCCTCCATAAGACGAGCTAGAAACATGCACAAATCTTTCTTTTCTAAGCGTATGCATGGATGACTCTCTGAACAGGTCCAAATAAAGAGGTCATAATTAGTAGGCAAATTCAAATATGGTCAGGCTACAGAAAAAACCACTGTTGATTACTGCACTTTCAGTAATATAGGAATGAAGGCAGAGTATTTCAATAAAGACTACAGAATTATTTCTTTTAATGTAGTGAACATATAGATTACCTGTCAGAAAATAAAAGTGACACAGACAAAAGCTTGTGGTGGCGTTGCCTAAGGAGCACACCTCTTATTGCTAAGGAACACTTTGCTGATTAACAGCCCTAAAGCAATACATACCATGACGCAAATTACAAAAATAATAAATCCCACAGACATTAGTACTGAAAGAACAGCTCTGGGCTGCGATTAAATTCCTGCTGCTGCTCATTCTATGTACAAAGAGGTAGTCAAACGTCAGTTGTGATGTCCTGTTTTTGTATTATTTCTGAAGCTGAAGAGATGTGCCTGTTTCAGTTGGCTATATCGAGATGATTAACTGGAGCAGAGATACAAACCATCCTCCATGTCCTCAGCTCCAGAAGGTTGCATTTTCCAAGTTAAAAAAAGTCTTCCTTTTAACTTACTTTTGAAGCAAAAGCACTGTATTGAAGAGGAGATACATGTATGTGTGTGTATATGAACATGTAAGTTATTTGTCTTTATTCACATTTAAAAAATAAAACACCCCTCACCCCACATAAAAGAAAACAAAACATAAAGGAAACTCTGTTATCTTGTATGGCCAATCCCCTTTCTTTTTTTTCGGCACAATAAATCTTCAGAAAAACAAAACCAATTCATACCATCCCTGTGAAGCATACAACTACCAGTCCAATGACAGTATTTCACAGCACCCAACCCCATTCTTACAGAACACCACTAGCACAACCATTATTTCCCACTGACAGATACCTCAGCACTTCAGGATTTACCCCACTGATGCTTAATGGACTTTTCTGGGTTTGTTGTTTGTTGGGGTTTTTTTTGCTTCTTCTGTTATTTTCCACCAAACCCTCATTTGTTTTCCGTCATGTGTATCCCCAGTGTGGTATAACAGAATGATTCTGTACTTCACCTGCGCGCTTGTCAGCAGTTAAGTCTTCGATGCCAATAACTCAAGTGGTGAAACTACTACTTTTATACTTCTCCCCTGTGAGTCATAGTCCTGTACACTCTGTTTTGCTTTTGACATTGCCTTTGACCCACCCTGTCAATATTTTTATGGCACGCGGATATACAATTTGCCAATAGTTTCCCATGTAATCAATATACAAAGAAGGGCTGTCCAAGATTGGAAGGACTTGTTATAGTAAAGACTGAGTTTCCCTAAACAATATTATTTTCCATTCTCAATCATGCTGTTCATACCATTTTTCTTTTAACTACTCATGACTTTCTCCTACCACAGTGCTTTAGGGAAGCATCAAAGCGTACCAAGTGTAAAAACTTTTCTAGTATCATCTTTCACTACTGTCACTAAATCTAAGTAGACTCACTGTTTGGGTAAACTGAAGCAGGAAGTTGCTCAAAAGGAGGAATGAATGGCTCTGTAAAACGCTAGCAAAGCAACACCGTGAACACTGCTTTCCTTGAGCTGGCAGCTCCTGTAAGCGGCACATAAGCGGTGCAAGCCCTCTTACATGCTGCCATGCCAGAAGAGATCAACTAAAAGACAACTGGGAAGAACGAGGAAGCTTATGGGCACGTAAAACACATTGTGAAGACAGTGAACCCAATTTCCTATTAAATCCCATCAGACAACATTTTAAACACTTGCGTTTTTAAAGTGTACGAATTCCGGATTTTGTAAGTGCTGAAGCCACTGTGCTACCAATGTAAGCATTTGGTACCCATTCTGCTGGACTCCTCACTCGAAGCTGAAAGCCTGATTTCCAACACGTGTTTTAGCCTGAAAGCAGCTTAAAATCCCGTTATTTCGGGTTGACAGGTTGAAAAACAAAACATGAAAGAAGAACCACCCCATGCGGTTTCCGTGTATAACTTTAATATCCCGAAGGACAACCACCAGCACCGCACAGCCCAGCACCACCTACAGCGGCCCCCCTTAACGCCTTCCCCTGACGCGGTATTCATTCATTCACACACCCAGGGCCCCGCCTCCCCGGGCCGGCGCAAGAACCTCCCCCCTCAGGCGAGCCTCTGCTCCGCCCACTCCCAGCGGTCCCGGTGCAAGATGGCGGCGCCCACGGTACTACGGCAGCGGTGGGGCCGGGCGGCGGGGCTGTGGGGCGGCCTGCGCCAGGCCCCGCAGCCGCTCTCGTTCCATCTCCGGAGGCGAGCCCATGAGCAGCCGCGGCGGGCGCGGGGTGCCGGCGGGCTGCTGGCGGCGCAGTGCGAGCGCGGGCTGTTCCAGGAGGTGTTCCCGGCGCAGAGCGCGGAGGAGCAGCTGCTGGAGCTGCTGGAGCCGGGCCGCCCGCCCCTCACTGTTTATTGCGGCTTCGACCCCACGGCCGACTCGCTGCACGTCGGGCACCTGCTGGCCGTCATGGGGCTGCTCCACTTCCAGCGCGCCGGGCACACTGTCATCGCCGTGGTGGGTGGGGCCACGGCGCGCCTCGGGGACCCCAGCGGCAGGGAGCGGGCGCGGGAGCCGCTGCCGGCGGAGCGGGTGCGTGCAGACGCGCGGTCCCTGCGTGCCGGGCTGGAGCGACTGTTCGAGAACCACCGGGAGCTGTTCTGGCCGGCCGCGGCGGCGGGCGGGAGGTCGCTGGGCCGCGCCGTGCTGCTGGACAACTCGTGCTGGCTCGGCCGGGAGCCGCTGCTCGACTTCCTCGGCGGCGCCGCCGGTCGGCTCCGCATGGGCACGCTGCTGAGCCGGCAGAGCTGCCAGGCGCGGCTGCGCAGCCCCGACGGTATGAGCCTCGCCGAGTTCCTGTACCCCGCGCTGCAGGCCTATGACTTCCTGCACCTCCACCTGCACCACGGCTGCCGCGTCCAGCTGGGCGGCGCCGACCAGATGGGCAACATCATGTCCGGCTACGAGCTCGTCACCAAGTACGGCGGGGCTGGAGGGGCGGCGGGCGGGCAGCGCAGGCTAGGCGCCGGCGTCCTGTCCTACCTGGGAAACGGTGGTGGCAGGTACAGGGCACCGGGAGCCCCAGCTCCGTGCAGGGTCAGGGCACCCATCATCTGCATCCTAACTGTGCAGTGATGGTGTATCCATCAGGTACCCTAAACTGCACAGCTTGTTGTTGAAAATCCCTACAGCACGAGGAACAGAAGTTGCCACTCCAGGAGTTGGCATTGCATAAAATGTGGGCTATGAGAAGAATAATGAATTGTCCTGATGATAAGACTGGCACATATGGACGTTTTGGCCACGGTTTTAAGACTTCTCCGTGAAATGTTAATGATTTTTTTAACCAAAAGGATGGGTTCTTTTATTAATTAATCAGAGAACCAAAATGAAGCATCCTAAAGCAAGGGACAATATTGAGAAGTCTTCTGCTAGCAAACACATTCTAGTGCAGTCACACCAAGGTAGAGCAGTAGTGGATCAGTCAAGACAGTTTCATTTCTTCTCAAAACCTGATGATGCTGAGCTTTTGCTTATCCACCAAATTTGGTGTAAGTCTCAGAAAACTTGGCAGAAGTACACAAGCAAATCAGTGAGTGTGGGTGACAATCAGAGACAATGCTTTTACTTCACCACATGCTGGACTATTACAAGACAGAGAATCAACACAAGAAAAGCCTTACAAGTGTCCCAGCCATGCAGGCAGCCTCAGTTAGTGCTTAGAGCAGAAAATGGAAGGTACCGCATATCTTAATTTGCTAGTGCTGTTGTTCGTGAAATTACTTAAGTACATAAACTTCTTTGTTACACACAATGTGTATTTTTAAATTCAAGGATTTGTTTGTTTTTTCTTCCTAAAGCAGTCTTCACCATATTCCGGCATCATTTGCCCCTCACACTTCATCTTATTTGACTGTTTTGTATCGAGGATAGACTCTCACAGGATGCTTGTATTTTAGTGATCTTTACCAAGAGGAGATTTTATTTTTATAACAGTGTTTTTACAACATGCAGTTACTCTTCTCTTTCTCAGGATGACGGGGACAGATGTGTTTGGAATTACTGTACCTCTTATTACCAATACTACTGGAGATAAGCTGGGAAAGACTGCTGGCAATGCAGTTTGGCTAAACAGAGAGAAGACTTCTCCATTTGAGCTGTACCAGTTTTTTGTCAGACAACAAGATAATATAGTTGAAAAGTAAGTAGGGTTTTCTTTTGGGGGGTCATTGTTCCTAAAAGCTGATCCTAACTGTTGTTCGTAACTGTTTCATTTGGATATGCGAAACACAAGGTCCCTGTAGAAGTAAATGTTAATTATAATTGTACATTCATTAAATAAACAGGCATGACTGGTTCTTAAGTATATAGGATAGTGGAATCTGTAGCTATATGCTAGCGTATGCATCATAGAATGTGGATGAACAAGCAAGCACTTTCTTCTGCCAGTGGGGTGACTTTTACGAGGTATGTTCGTTTCAGTACTGTAATGTCACAGTATCAGTGAAATCTCTCCTGCTGATTAATAAGCAGCTTCAGCTTAATAGATATTATCACAAGTTTTTACTTAGTACAAGGTATCCAGAAGCACTACATTCAAATAGCAAGAAGCTACTTAACTGGTTACAAACATGTAAAGTTCAGCTTCTAGAACCGCATCACATGAAAAAGTGCATATCCCTAATCAAATAGTGTCTTGTTAAGAAAAAGCCAATAAGTTCATATTTATGATTATATTAGCTCTCTAAATCAGTGATCTCTAGACTTTTTGATCATGTGCCCCTATCAGTAAAATAATTTTGAGCATTCACTCTCAGTACATATATGATTGTTTATTTATAGATTATATAAAGCTACTGCTGAAGCTGTAATATTTTCTTCCCGCACCCTGTTGGATCATCCTGCATACCTTTTGGGGTGCTGGCACCCTGCTTTGAAGATCACTGGTCTAGATAAAAACATTTCTGGGAGACAGTCAGACTGTGATTGTAGTTCAGGTAAAAAGGGGAAAACATTATACCATTTAAGTCCAAGGCAGGGAGTATACAGGGTAGTGCACAAGGAATTCGTAAGGTAGAGGTTTTCAGGGATCAGTTTAAAGACATTGAAAGTACAAAATAAGGGAGAGGAGAACAGAATGGACAGCTAGTAGGAGTCAGCATCCTAGGCTACAGTTTAGTAGGATCATAGAATGGTAGAATGGTTTGGGTTGGAAAGGATCTTAAGATCATATAGTTCCAGGCCCCCCTGCCATGGGCAGGGATGCCTCACTTGGGTGACTGTCACCCAAGGCTCTGTCCAGCCTGGTCTTGAACACTGCCAGGGATAGAGCATTCACCACTTCTTTGGGCAACCTGTTCCAGTGTCTCACCACCTTCACAGTAAAGAACTTCTTCCTTAAACAGGGGAAGTTCAGGTTAGATACAAGTTTAAACCTATTACCCCTTGTCCCATCGCTACAGTCCCTGACGAATAGTCCTAGTAGTGTGACTGTGGTGAAAATGTCATGCAGTTTTGCCCACTTGTGGAGACACTTAACATCTTTTTCTTTCCATGTACCATAACTCACACAAGCATTAATTAAAAACATTTAGATGATGGGAGGAGTGCTTGGTACATAAATGACCAGCAGTACTAACATGGTGGAACCCTAAGGCTGTTTGATAGCTTGCATGGAAATTTTAGTGGATCTTTTTAAAAATTGCAGATAGGAACAATCTGCATCATCCTGACTCAATGTTTGACAGTTTCATTGAAGTTAATTGTTCAGCTTCCCCATTTCAGAACGTGGAAAGGAAGATTTCTGCTTACAATTAAAATGGCAAGTGGATTGATCTGTAAAGAAGATGAGACTAATACACCAAAACTTTGGAAGGACATCCAATACTGCTTAAAGCAGTAGAATGTAAAAAGACAAAATTCTGAACTGTCATTACTTAAGGCAGAGCAACTCCAATGAGCTAAACATGGTCTTCTGGTGTTTCTAAATCCAAGTCAACCACACATAACTTGCATTCTTACTGCCAAAGAACATGTACACATATTTAAATCGTATAAGAACCACAAAAGGGTAGGGAAAATGTGAGAAATACCATTTTACCATTTGAGTTTCCTTCAGTGATGGCTAGCCTCCATGCTGGTGTGCCACGGACATGGCTGAAAATAAAAAACCAATAGCTTTATTCAGGGTATTACATAAACTTTAATAAGTTGCTATATGCTCTGTTTTAAATCTGCTTTTAACTTCAGTATCACTGTCAAATCTGTGTCTTCATAAACCTCAGACAGGTTTCATATTGTGACATGTCTTGTAACTCAGTTACCTTTCCTAAAGGTTTATTGGCTGGTATTTCTGACTTTGGTTCTGCATCCACAGCACTTTTCAGACTGAAAAGAGGGATATGTGGGTATTTAATGCTACAATATTTCATGCGTTCAGACTCTGTACCAGTACCTTTTTAAATACACTGCATTTCGTGGTACTGCAAGGCCATTAAAATGAACTTTGTAGTGAAGAGTATGGTTAGATATACACCTTTACATTCTTGATTATCCTAAGTAATCTTCCTGTTGAGATACTTGCAGTACATCACATACTTCTGCCCCACAGGCTGGGTGTGGTATTTTGCATTAGTGTATTGTGCAACTACAAAGTATATAATCTAAAGCCTTGTTAGTTGACACACAATTGCAGTTAAGTCCTGTAAACATTTCAAGAGAAAACCAAGTTGTTGATTGCATTATAAGCTTCATAAAAGCATCTCACACTGTCTTATGTTTGAAGACATAACCTTAGGCAGAATATTAAAGTAAATGTGAGCTGTGCTGGTAAGTGGAAGCATGTGAGCAAAATCAAAGAGTTGTTTGAAAAGACAGAACATCTGTAATGCAGTTTTCTTAAATTGACTAAGAATCATTATTTAGTCTAGTTAATGAAGCTTGAATGATAAAGGTAGGAAATGTTTTAATTATGGCTATATAGACAAAATATTTTTTTTCCCTGCTCATAGATACCTGAAACTCTTCACCTTCATTCCTCTTGAGGAGATTGACCACATTATGGAAATGCATGCTAAAGAACCAGAAAAATGGGGCCCTCAGAAACGACTTGCTGCAGAAGTGACAAAGCTGGTTCATGGTAGAGAAGGGCTAGAATCTGCTAAGAGGTGAAGTTTGATTTGTCAAGCAGTTTTCTGTCAGATTTGTTCAATGGTAATTATCCATAGCTTTTCAAGGACTATTTTCATGAGGCTAGTTGTTGCTCAGCTGGTAAAAGAAAAAAATGTAATAATTCTGTAGACTTAAAAATACAGTAACACTATTTAAAAAAATTGCAGAACAACAGATTACAACAAAAAAAAAAAAAAAGGGGTGTACCTCTCTTACTGTGTGGACCCTCAGAACAAGTTGGGGAAAGGAATCTAATGAGCTGAGTAGCTCTTTGTGTGAAGGTAAGACTAGCCCTGTATTTTGAATGATCTTTGTTCTCACAGGTGCACTAAAGCCCTTTATCACAGTAGTGTGGAGGCATTGGAAGCTATGTCTGACCAAGAGTTACAGGAACTTTTTAAACAAGCTCCTTCAGCTGAATTGATGCTTGAACCTGGAATGAATGTTCTTGACCTGTGCCGCAAAGCAAATGCCATTGCAGATGGACCTAGTGGGTAAGTTACCACCTGTGCTCTCTGGCAGTACCTCACTTGAGCAGGTTAATAGTGGTATGCTTTCAGCAGTTAAACAAAAGATGAGGACAGCTAAGTCAAGTAGAAACAGGCTAGCAATCTATGTACCAGCATTAAAAAGAGGGGAGCAGCTAGCCTTATTCCATTTTGAAGTAAAAGCAGGATAATGCAGCCTCATGTATCTTAGCTGTAAAATCTACACCTGATGGAGGGACAGTCTAAGGTAACAGCCTGCTTCCTTATAGCTCTCAGTAAGAGTCGTAAAGACTTAAGGTTAATTTCGGTCACTCTTGACCTGGACTGAAAGTAAGTGCAAGATAATTAATATTTACTTAGTTATGGATCAAACGAAAAAGCTCTTAGCTGAACTTCCAGTACTTAACAATAATTTAGAATTTGCTTTTCACAGTTGATCTTGCAATTACCACTTTTCCTGTTTGGATTTTTTTAGGTATCAGAAAATTACACATGGCGGAGTTTCAATAAATGGGATTCGTGTAACTGATCCTGAGACCATTCTTATTCTTGGACAGCATATTCTCAAGAATGGAGTATCGTTGCTTAGGATTGGAAAGAAAAATTACTACATTATAAAATGGCTGCAGTTGTGACAACAGAATAACGGATCATTTTGACTCTGTTGCTTGAAGATGTTTCTATACTGTGCATTACTGCACAGGTCACAAATTGCCTGATACCAGGGTTTCATTTTCAGAATACAACAGAGTTCCAATAAAGGCAGCTAAGTTAAACCACTGAAGATACTTTTAGATACTCTGCCTTACTCAGAGTATGGTTTGCAAGAGGGTAGGCACAAGATGAAAAGATTAATCTCAAAGCCCAAAGATGAAGATGTTCTTCCTCTCTGTTAACAACCTTTTGTATTGTAGGAGAACAGTGGCCAGGGACGCTACAGCATAATCCACAGCAAGATGAGCAAAAGTATATTCTCAAAACCAGTACTTCTTTCGGAGGATGTATGCTGCTGTCCAAGTTTGACTTCACCCTAGCAGAGAAATCCACATAAGTGGGTAAGGACAACCAATCTACAAGCAGTGTTCTTTTCTGAACAAGTTTGGTTTTGAAGGAAGCTGCAGGATCTTCACAATAAATGAGCAGAATGATTTAAGACCCATTATGTAATGCCTTATTGGTTATGTACGGGGGGACATTGTGTAAAAGCTTTTTAGCCCTAATATGGTAATGCAGAGCAAATTCACTTTTTGAAATGTAAGAGAGTATAAAGCCTTTCAAAATTTGAATCAACCTGACGAATCCCTCTGTGTGTTCTGTGTGCTTAGTGTGATTTTACAAAGTTGGTAACACTCATTCTTCTTCAGTCCTGTGCATTACCAGGATACATCTGTGCTATTTAGAATCTTTGTTGAAGGTATGCCTTGGTACTAGTTCGGTGAGCTTTACGATTGGTTGCAAGTTAGTATATTATACGAGAAGATTTGAAGCATGTATATGAAAGCTGTTCAGTTTTAGCTGCCTAGGAGTTGTGGGTGAACAGGAAAACAAGGGTATCTGGACTAGGAAATGTGAGGGAAGCTATAATGCTTTTGCAATTAAAATAAGTCAGACCTTTCAGATAGGGCAGTGTGCAAAAGCTGCACGTTTTGTCTCATGAAAGAGCCAAAAGCAATCCTACTGCTTATGGCCTAGCCAACATCTAGAATTGTAGCTTCCTCATTTTCTTGTAAAGACAGCACCCCACACCCAACCACACCCCCCAAACAAACACCCCCAACCAACCACAAAACTGAAAGTGAGGCTGTACTTCCAAGAGTTCATAGAATAGCAACATGTACACTTCAAGGTAGAATTGCTCCAAAGCACCCCCCATGGCTGTTTCTGTTACCTGCCACTACAGGTGCTTACACACCTGGAATGAAATAAGCATGGGGTACCATGTCTTGCTAAATTCCCTTCCACTGGTGGGGGGTTTGGTATTGGTTTGTTCAGGCAATACAGGTGCCATAGTATTTGGAAGCAGGTCACCTGAACAACACAGTCCAGATGTAGTTACCCAAGATTATTTGGTAACTACAAGCCCATACTTGAATTGCACAGAACTGGTTAACTGACTGATAGAATACAGTAACGCAGCCAGCTGGCTTAGAGTGTTAAGGGACCCTCTCTGCCCCAACACAAACCCTCAGTCTGATTTATGAAGTGATTGATGGCCTTCCGTCTTGACTGCAGTGTTGTTTTGAAGGTTTAGGGTAATCCTTGCTCTTGGGCCAAGGAGAATCATTTCATGGTCCATGAACTCCTAGACAATGCTGACACGCAGTCACAAGGGGAGAGGCTTTAATCTTGCATACCTGAATGTTGTCACTCAACGTAAAAGCTGGTGTTGAGTAAGTCATAGTATTCCAGCTGGTTTAAAAAACATCCCAACCTACAATAAAAATGAGGAAATTAGAATACAGACATTCTATAATTGGGTGGGAAGTTTCTGTTTGTTTTTAGGTAGGTTTGATTTTGTGGGTTGGCTGTTGGTTTTCTTGGTTGTTTTTTTTTTTACTTGATCAACTTGATGTTGGCTTTATTTGCATTGTTACTCCAGATTTCAATAGTAATAAATTATATAGTGGCTTCCTGCCTATATCTCAGTTTCTTCAGATTATTAAACTGTAATATGGTAGTACTTTCAGTAGAGTTATTAGAGTTACTTTTCAATGGAGTTATTAGTATTAATGTCAGTTTCTAGATCCCACTTATCTGCTTGATAATTAGGTACCTCTATCTAATCACTGTTCTATAAAGAAAAATTAAAAGTAGTTGAGTTATTCCTACGTTAAAAAAGGTAGCTCAGTTTGTGTTCCTTGTGACTTTGTCTTAAGCTGCAGTAATAATCAGAACTATTCTAGAAAAAACATGGAGGAAAAAAATCACAACAAAGGGTAGAAGAGGGGAAGGGAGACTTAAGGTCATCCCCTTCATAGAGCAGCCTTGTTCCTTAAATGGCAGAAGCATTATAGCAATACAGAAATATGCATCTGGGAACAAAATATACTGGTACATACGCACATTAGCCTCCAGAGAAATACAGATCAGATTAGACAGCTACTTTCTGGATGCAGGAAATAAATTCCTAGTAGAGTAAATGTGTTTTGTGTGATCCCTCTCCTGCCTTTCTTCTAACCCTTTCATCTCTAAATGGTGCAGATACATGTATATCACCAAATTTCAGCTTTTTAAAAAAAGCATTAGTGCCCACTTTGATGAAGCATTAAAAGGATTTTATTTATTTTTACAAATACAAAATAAAAAAGAGAATGAAATTCTTTGCATACAAGATTTTTAATAAGATCCACAAACTCCAAGCAATTTAGTCTGTGCTTCCTTTTGACCAACTCTTAGCAATCCAAACCCTTCCCTGACTTTCCAAAGAAACAGCTTGATACAGCCACTACTCTTTACGACTGTACAGGGTCATCAGAACAGAACACTCAGGCCAACAATCAAGGATGACCAAAAAGTCTATGAGTATTCTTTCTTAGCCTGGTCTCATTTTGCATATACTCCAAAGCACACCTGTTCAGGTAACTGGAGACATAGATTGTTCAAATGTGAAGCAGTAGTAAAGTATTTAACATGTCTACAAATATGTGATTTGGAAGTAGAAGAAAAGTCATTATTTAGGCCAGGTACTACTAATAAAAACCAAACAAAACAACATTTGTACAGTACCTGGGGATAACAAAACCTGGAGGACTTGAATTTAACATTCTTGTGGCAGCTAGCAATGAAGAGGTAAACAATGACAGGGTGTGCAGCAAAGGAGCTATCAGAGCATGAAAGCACCTTCACCAGTTTAAGTGTTACATGGCATGCAACCATATTCAGGTGGTCTATCCTGTTGTAAACTTCAAAGAATCAGCCAGCTCACACCTCAAAGCAGAGTTCTTGGCAACAAGATAAAAAGCACATGCTTTTGAGATCTTTAGCATCTACAGAAAGCACGAGCCAGCAGTTGCTCTCATAGCTGAACAATTTAACTGTAACAAAAAAGCAAAATCCCAACAAAACCAAACCCCAAAACCTCAAGATAATTCAGGTTACCAGCACGGGCAAAGCAGGCTGACAAGTTGTTTACCTGCTTGTATTCCATAAAACAGTGACCGGAGTTTACAATATACAGTCTGGCATCTTTCAAAATCAGACCTCCATAGAGTAAAGGCAAGTTTTATGTAAGTTTTGTTCAGCAAGTTTGAAACAGCACACAGCCACTTGCTCTTACCCATCTATTCCACTAAGTGAAATTTGAACTGACTACTGAAAACCCCCAAGTAATTTATTGTCAAACTCTGTTCATAGAGAGATACTAAGTTTTAGTTACAGTAATACCACACACAGGTCAGGTATTAATGTCAAACATTTACTTATCTAAACTTAGCCACAGTGGCTTTTCTCCCCCATGATTGTGTGTTTCACTGCACAGCAAGTTATTTTAAGCTAGCTAAAATTTGTGCATTGATGACAAAAATATTTCAAGTTTAAACTAAGTAAGGTGGACTGGCAAACATTTGTAAAACATCAGTCTAATCTGGGATGTTTTCAACCGCTGCCTCCATTACGTTTTTGGGGTTTCTTTCCCATGGTTTTCCCATAATTTCTTTTAATGGTGGCTGTAAGAGAAGCATCTTAAGTATTTTCAGTCAATACCAGACAAGCTGTTTAAAAACCATTAATAGCCACTAGAAACGTGTCTACACTATTAGTTCTGCAACTATACAAGAACTAATAATGTAGAATTGCACCAGGGCAAATGCAAACATACATAAGGCTGTACAAACATAGCTAGTTATGCCATTAATTTGTAAGACCATGTACGTCCTGCCACCTGAACTACAAGTCAGTTCAAAGCTTTATTTCTGGGATAAGTAATTTTATGCATTATTTCTTTATTTAATATCAGGATTGTTACAGCATGGATTTTTAAAGACTTGCATTAAGGATTTCAAATCAAGTTCATTTCTTGGCACTCAAACATTACCAAATTGATAGTGTCTATGAAACAAAAAAGTCACAATGTTTCAAAACTAATTAACACTGGAAGTTTCACATGTTATTACAGATCCAGTTACCAGTTACAGCGTGTTTTTAAATAAATTGAATTAATTTGCTTTATGCAGCAGTATTTCAAAACTCAACATGCCAGAATATTTCTTCACAAGATACTCTTGACTGAACTTTGGGAGTTAAAGCTTAAGTAGCAGTTCACTTGTGAATGGCTCTACCTTGTTGTGAACATACTTCTTCCACGTCAAAAGGAAGAGAGGTGTCATGAGAATTCCAAATAGAAATGTACTGCTTTTGACAACACTATTAAAAGCTTTTGCTGTTCACCAGAATTGACTTTAAAAGCGGCCTGCACTTCACTACAGACACATTTTTCTTAAACTTGGGAACTATCACCCCAGGATACAATGCAAGAAGTTTAAATTAAATTTTCAATCTTTAGCAGCTTACAGAAGGAATTCCATTTCTTTTAACTGATGAAATACGGAAGGAACTAAATATGGTATTAGAAATCTCATTATACTGGCCTACAATTGTAAAAGCAAGCCATGGGTGTTAACAGCAGCATCCTATTTTTCATGCAAGTTGTGTTAAAATACCAGCAACACCACAGTAAACATTTTTACTTTGTACAAAAGTGAATCTACTTGAAAAGTACATGCAAGTGTGCTGACTGGATTTTAAATAAATTTTTATTCATAAAAATTAAAAATGTTTACTTTGTAAAGGCTAGTGTGATCAGTATCTGTATAAATTATAATCAGAAGAAAATAACTAATCAACTTAATTTCCAACATAAAATTCCCTCATTTTAGGATTGTCGTCAAAAAAGGGGGAAAAAAATGCGCGTTACTTACAGCACAATAGTATTTCCTCAAAAGTAACTATGATCTCTGTTATAAACACTCCAACGCAACAGACTTGCTGTCATACTGTCATACATTCCAAAATTTGGAAGAAGTTGTGGGGCTCCCCTTCTCCTTGGCCAACTTAAATCTGTTTTTTAAAGAAACACTTATTATCCTGTTACAGTTTTGAAATCCGCTTTTATTTTTCAACTCTGCCAGAACAAATTTACTATTGGACAGTCCATGGGG